AGCCAAAATATTCTGCAACACTCGTACTCCTGTTACTAACCAAGTAATACTGCTATGCTTGAGGTTTATCAATGTGGAAAGACTGATGTTATAGACAGCTAACGTAATCAGTGTCCACCGGAGAGTGGAGTGACAGTGTTGCCTCTGAGCCTCCGCAGAAGAGCGTCTTCATGGGTGAGCAGATACAGAGAATAATTGCGTTTCCCGTCCTCCCTGTGCCACCGTGCAACAATCCATTAAAATATATCTATTACAGTGCAGGACTATGTCTTTCAACTCACCTGTCGGGGGAGCAGCTCCAAGGGCCATGAGAAAATTGAGGAAAAACACCAAAAGAGAAATGTTGAAAAAGAAGTGCCACAGTCATTTCGAGAGCACAGCGGGAAAGTCAGAACATGCTCGTAATCACACTTCAGTTTAATAGAATACTCTCAGGCTGTGACGCTGCTGAGACAAATTTAGACACGTGCGGAAAGAAAATTAGAACATCAGGACAAGGCTCAATATTGGTGAATGTTTTGGTGTATTTTGAATCAATCAACCGACAAATACAGTTGAATATGTGTCGTCAGAGAACTTTTGAGAACTTGTGGAGTCTACAGTGTAGTGCAAGGACAGTCTCCTGGGGAGGCCCCACACTGTCTGGACCCCAGACATGGCTCTCACAAACTGGATTCTGTCTGTGAGGTAGTCCAGGATCCACTCAAAAAGGTTACAGGGTTGCAGTCCACTAAAGCCTTCTCCAGCTTGTCCCGAGGAGCCTTGGCTGGATGGTGTTGAAGTGGCTGAAGAAATCAATGAACAGAATCCTCACAACAGTGCTGGGCTTCTCCAGGTGAGACAAGTTCACACTTTCTTTTTTTTTGTCTTTTTGAAGGCCAATTTGGACACTTGGTTTTGTCCTGTTCCAATCTTATTGATATTACCAGATGCCATAACGTTTGATGTGCGCCACACCAACTAAATGCTTGTCCTTTGAATTGCAATGTCAGTGGTTTATAACATAGGGAAATGTTATAAACAAAATGTACAATATACACAAAAGTGAAAACTGTAGCTCAGTAATTATCATTAATATATTCAGTTGTAGGTTCGCACACCCAGCAAGATTTTTTTTTTTTTCGCTCAAGTGAGTAAGTAATCTTTATTTATTTATTTGTATTTCACAGACTCACTCCACACAGATAGATGAGAGCAGAGTTCCCATACAGGAGCCCAGCGCACCCGGAGGAAACCTACACTGACACTAGGCAAACATACAAATTCATTCATACACAGAAAGGCCTGGAGGTGGAATTGAACCCAAGACCTTTATGTTTTACGTTTACATCAACCCAAAAGCTCAAGTGTCACCGGCGTTTGTATGTTTGTCTGTCTGTGATCAAAATATCTCAACAAGTGATTGCAGGATTTGAACACAATTTTCAGGAAATGTACACAAATGTTTTCTTGAATTCAGAAAAGATGGATGAAAGAAAGAGGAACAAATCTTCAAGTCGCTCTTTTGACCTCCAAGGATAAAACACAACCTCAATACCACAGGAAGCATCGGACTTAGAGGGAAACAAAAGACTTTCTCCGACCGTCCGACAGTGAACTTAAGTGACTCCACAAAGACGCTGCATTTGCCATTCCTCTCATATAGACCTGCTCCTCTGATAAGAAACCTGCACACACCTCTGCTGCAGTCAGCCAGACAGATGAAAACTGGCTGCTTACTCACAAACAGCCACTCATGAAAAAACACTTTCATTTTAGAAGTTATGCCATCCTCACTTCTTACAGATGCATAAAATTGAAGAATTCCACTCACTGCGGAGACGTGAATCATACTATTACGGTAAAGCTCAGGCAAGTTTTGTTCTCCTCGATCAAGGAAGAAAATGATCATAATGTACACCTTGGAAGCTTCTACTTGAAACTTGTGAGTTTTTAAGCGTGCTATTGTCAGTGACATCACATGCATGTCACTGACAATAGCACGCTTAAAAACTCGCATAGTTTCCTCGCATAGTGCATGCAGTGAGCTTTCTTTTTTTTTTGCGTTTTGTTTCTAAAGTTGCAGGATATAAGGACTACAGGGAAGGGGGGGAACCACCACGAACCCTCCAGCTAGTGCTATTGGTGGTAACTGAGCTTGAGCATAAATGGAGAACAGTTGGGAAACCAGGGGAGGCAGAGAAAAGCAAAACAGCAAAAAGGTTCTGGGTTCGATTCCACCTCCAGACAGGGCGTTTCCGAGTGGACTTTGCAGTGTATTGGTTTCCTCCAGATGCACCGTTTTCCCCTACAATCACAACATGTACAATAGCTCCCACTTTCTGGGGTCAGGAGTCCCCTTAAACAGAGGTTCTGGAATCTCAAGGGGACATTAAATAAAAGTCTCTTCTTCACTCATTTGCAGCTTTCTGTCCAACACCGACTAGGATTATGACTTGATGTCAGTTCAGGATCTCAATTTCACCAAAATCTGAAATTGAGTTTAAGAAAAGCTCCCTCTTCACATAATCCTTCTGCAGCCCTTCAACAGCAGCTGGAACTAAAGCAAAGAAGGCTTTAGTTTAGACTCTACCAGCAGAAAGACACAAACCATAACTTCATGCATAACAAAAGACTGGGGTGCCACCGAGGTAACCAAAGACAGGCAGTCGAGCGAGGGAAATAAATGCATTATATGCCTATTAAATGTTTAATTATATTTCAACATGATCAGGAGCGATGACTGATGAATGAACTGAGAAATACTGTTAAAAATACAGAGATTCTAAATAGTATGTCTTTAAGGGTTGAAATAGCTGCAATATTGTTGATTCCCACTCCGGCCCAAGATGACCCTGTGTGACTTGATGAGATGCTCCTCATCAATGTGGGGTGCTTTGAACTGTGGTAGATGTGAGTCTACATTTTATGCAAGATATACAGAGACGCAGCCAGACAGCAGTGTTAACTTTTACCTCTCTCCACCACAGATGGAACTGCATAAATTAGAATAACTTGGAAATGTGCATAATTGTGAAATAGTGGATAAAGCAAAAGGAAATGGATGGATGGAGTTTGTTGTCAATACAACACCAGTTGTCTCAATGTGTCCTGAATTAACCAAAACCTGATCAAGCTATATCCCTCCAGGGGAGAAGAGAGGATACATGAGACGATGTGTCCATAATAAAATTAATGATTAGAAAAGTATTCTGTTTGGTCTTTGAATTGGACGAAACATGTTATTTATTTTTTTTATGAAGGAAGAAAAACTTGAGTGAACTTGGCATCTGGCACAATAAACTTGGATATGAACACACTAGTACGGTGGCTAGCACTCTTTCCTCTCAGCAAGAAGGTCCTGGGTTCGAATCCCGGTCGGAACGGGGTCTTTCTGAATGGAGTTTGCATGTTCTCCCCGTGCAGTCTGAGATCTCACATTAAACATGCACTCTAGGTAAAATCCTCCAGCTCTGGTTCTGACCAAGTGGAGCATCAACATCTGGAGATGGGTTCCCAGGCGCAGTACTACGGCGACCGCTGCTCCTGACGTAAGCCTTAGTGGCATCAGGATGAGTCAAATGCAGAGGATTGAATTGCCCTACGGGTATCAATAAAGTGCACCTTTACCTTTTACTATAAACCCCCCATATCCCTGTGTGTGTGTGTGTTTGTTTGTATGTGTGTGTGCGTGTTTGTGTATATTGACCTAAATTTGGACAGAACGTGGTGGGAACCATCATGTGGAAACTCAGCATGCAGCAGGTATTGGTCTGCAGGCATAAAGGCCTTTCACTGTGGTACACAAGTGCACATGGATTTCAATGTCACGAGGCCACAGTAAGAACACCTACAGAACACGTCCAGCAGCAGGCCCCTGGCTGAGACAAGGAGCATGTGTTGGGTAGAGATAAGATATTCTTTGATGTCTTGATTTCTCCTATTCTTAAGCCAAATGGACTCCTGCTGCCTCACATTTAAAATCTCACCCCTATAGCCAAGGGCAACCAACACATTTTAATAGAGAGAAAAAATAAGCCTAAAATAAAAAAATATAAAATATAATACAACTTTCTTAACTGCTTTTTATTAACACAAATGTAGAAAATTAGGAGGCCAATTAATTATTTTTGTTATATACCAAATGGCATAATTAATGCATTAAAACAAAGTTCACAGCCTTATGCAGACTGAATTTACCTGACGGGTGATTTAGCAGCTGCAGATGTGTCTGAGTTTGAGACAAATATAAACATAGTGTGGTAGTCTTTTGAGTGTCATTTTGCCATTTTGTGTAAACTGGAAATTTGACAGTTTACACAGCCATTATGGCAGAGCAAGGCGTTTCTAGATTAGATTCCCAGGAACATTATGCATGTTCTTCCAACTACAAACATGTACAATCGTTTAGGGTGAATTCTTTTGTGTTTGTAACTAAATTATAAAATAAACAATAATCTACTCAATCAACTGAAACACTGTGGAAACTTGGCAAACACATGAGACCGTACTCTCTCTAAAGTGTAGGATATGACCGTATTTTCTTTACATCATAAAAACAGTATGTCACAGGCTACATTTGAAATTCTTGAAACTGTTCTAAAGCAGTCTCAATGGCGCCACTGCACCGCCATGTTGGCTCTAAGCCTGCCTGCCTCAAAGAGAAGCAGCTCTGCGCCAGAATGGAGGACGGTGGAGCAGTTTCATAACCTCCCGGTAGGAGGAGCTTCCTTCTGGAAGGTCTGTGGAGGAGCTGCTGCCTGCACGTCCGGGGCACACGAGCAGTGATTCTCGGAGCTCAGGAAAACCACGAAGCCGAAGACTGGAAAGTGTTGAAGAAGGAAAGACGCGGGGAGTCCACGCGTCCGTGCGTGCAGACTTGGACGTGCACTACTGGAGGACAGCGCCACTATAAGAGGACAGTGCGCAAACCTTTGGAAACGCGTTAAAGTGGTGTCGGGCGGAATTCCGAGATGTGAAAAAGAGTCCACGCACCTGGGGCAGCGCTGTGGGCAGATCTGATGCACACTGCCCTCTGCTCAGTCTGGAGCGTCCACGCGTGTCTCTGTGCGTTCCACCGCCTGGACACACTGCAACACAGTACTTTACTTTACTGTTTGTGTGAGCTGATCCTCTCCTCTCGCCTCGAACCCAGAGTTAAGAGTCGTTTGTGGAAGAGGAAGGAGGGGCCGAACCGGTGGACTCCCAAAACTGGATTATTGCGCGTTCCCTGTGCGGATTCACGGAGACGCAGCGTTTGGGAGGCGCGGGTTGAAGAAGCGGCAACAACCTGGGATTTACAGCCGATCTGTGTGAACTCTTCCCCGCCTGCCCACTCGCTGCTGCTGTCCGAGCAGTCCTCTGCTTGTCAAGCAACGTGTGGCCTGACTGCCTTGTTGCCTGCACTTAGGAGCACACTCGGGTTCGGGCACATATTCTGGGGATCCACATCCCCCCGGTCCTAGCATGACTATGGCAGACGACGACATTCTCTTTGAAGATGTCTACGAGCTGTGTGAGGTCATCGGCAAGTAAGTACTCCAACGCTTCATACTATGTCTGTGTGTTTTACAGGTAATGCTGGTCAGTGACACTTTCCAAATAGCACTGTAGTGAATGCACCTCTAAAAGCAGCTGAAGTCATTGCGTCACGCGCGGATGCACTGTAAAACCCGTGGAACAATCTTGATGTTTGTCTAATTATCTGGAAGGGTCTGTCTGCACGTTCTTACCTTGACCTATTCACATAAATCAAGGCAATTCAAAAGCTGAATGTCAGTGAGATCCAGTTTTTTTTGTTTACTCTCTAAATGACAATAATAAGATAAAGTTTATGTAATTGCCCATAGCGCTTACAATCGTGCTTTAACCTAGTGGCAGTTTCCAACTTGGTGCAAGGATTAAAGGGTAGGGCACATGGCGACATGACTCATACACACACAACATCTGGACACTATTAACATCTGGAGGTCTCATCCAGGCTACTCAGTAACATTCAGTCCAAGAGAAACACCTTGTCACCAGTTTTGTTTGAGTGGAAGCTCACAGTTTTCCTTTATGTGCATGGAAGCTTGCTGTCTTGCTTTTGAAATTACGATGTATCTTTTGTCTTGGCCTACACAAACTCCATTCTGCCATCTGTGTTGACAGTGCTTAGTCTTTTCCAGCTGTTTTGTGTATTTTACAAGTTGCTGGATCGCAGCATGGTAAAACAATTGTGAGATTACAAAGCTCATAGTCCATTATTTGTTCAATACCAAATATTATCTGAATAGATGAGAACATTGTGACTATTCAATTATGCATAACTTTGAGCATTAAGTTACCCCAGAATAACATTCATTGGCATCCATGGTTGTGAAGACAAAGTATTAGGCTAACCAAAAATATGGTACTCACATACATGTATTATTTACATCCTATGTTATAGAATACTCGCACATACATAATTTGTCTGTTTATTGTTTGATCCTATCCTGGAGTGAATTCACTAATGTTATCAGCTCTGCATTTCACTTCATTACCTGTGGACCCTGCCTCTGAGGCCCCATTCAGATCATTTTTAAACACACATATCTAAACTCTTACATGTAAACTCATGGTCTACGACCTTATTTTCACATGCAAATACAGTCAAATCTCAGCCCTTTTGTTTGTATTTCACTTGGTGGTGATTGCATGTGTGATATTTAGTGCAGCACCAGTTCAATATTTTGTGCATATTGAATGATTCACTCCACTGGGCACGCAAACACAAGCACCATGTGAACGAGGAGCTCGCCCTGACAGACGCAGGCCGACTGCTTCTGGGACACTGGCACTGTCACTGAGATGTTGGCTGTTTGACAGACTGATAAGACATGCTCTTCCCTCAACATGTTTAAACAAGCCTGGAAAATGAGATGTGTGCTTTATCCCACACAGTCTCTGGCTGTTTAGAAATCACTCTTTCAAGTACAGCTGGGAAAGAATGGGACCACTGTGCAATTATTTGTAATGGATTTATCTTGGTGTAGTAGTGACACCGGATCTTAACTTTGTACGAATGTTTTATATTTTATACTTCTTACATTTGTGGAATTCCATTGTGTTAGAACTCTCAATCTATCAACAGCCTGTGCAGTTGATTTGCATTTTCATCAACTCTAATGTAGATGTATTTTGAACCGTCAACAATGGATTGTCAATTAATAAATAGTAAAAGTATGTTTGATTTAAATGATTCAAATTATGTATAATAATATTCAGGAAAAAGATGTTCCAATTGTAGTTGGAATTTTCCACTTGACAATACAGTTTTCAATCAGCTTTGCCCCGGTATGGGTCAGATCTTTGCGCAGTCCGATTCAGATTGCACTCATCGTAAGAATGCATTAACGCGAAAGGTAGGCCATAATGAACAAGTTTTGGCATAAATCCCTGCCATCCCTGAACCCTGCCAAGTCTCTCATCATGTTTTTATTGTTTTACTGGTGTGGGTGTGTGTGTGTGTGTGTGTATGAGTGTTCATGAGCGCGTGTGTGTGTGTTTGTCTGTGGTTTGGGGGGGGTCTGTTGGGTGGTCTGGGGGAGGGGTCTTGGGCCGGCGGGATTGTTTTTAACCAATCTGTAAAGCACTTTGTGTTGCATCTTATGTATGAAAAGCGCTTTATAAATAAAATTTGATTGATTGATAAATGGGCTTTACTGTATTAAAACCTTTGAAAAAACAATGTCTTATATCAGTAGTACTAGATGTGGACGCTGGGAATGAAGTACTCTTGTGGTGTTTCTGTATCCATAAATACATGTGGCCTACCCTTATATTGTGCACTTTTAGCAAAGAATGGCTTCCGATAAATACATATGACATCATAGGCTCGACTCGCAAATTGGATGAGAAGAAGTGGTGTAGGTGGAGACCTTCAAACTCCTGAATTGTGTGTGAATCATAGCTTACTCACTTTTCAACTGACTCCCTATAATTTGCAGTTTGCAGAAGGCGACTACAGTCTTTTACCAGCTGACCTGCTGTTCTTCGTGCATGGAGCCAACTGTCACTGTTTGAGAGGGAGGAGAAGTGGATGATTTTGATCATAGAGAAGAGGGAGAAGGCAGGAGAGAAGCCTAACCAAACGACAGTGGAGCAGTAAGACGGGCACGGCATTAAAAGCCTGAGGGCCGTGAGCAGCGCTGTACAGGCTGCAGTGGTGAAAATACTGCTATGTGTGGATGTCATTTACAAAGGAGAGCTGAGACAGGAGATTCTTTGGCAAATTTGCTGGTGAATTATAAATTACGTTATCCCATTCCATCATCAATGAAATGGTGTGTGCATGTTTTTGTCGAAACCACAACTTAAATATAAAGAGGGAAATTAACTCGTCCATTCTATGTCGGAGGTGTGCAACTCATTTTGGTTGGGGCCAAATGTGTAAAGTGGGTTTCTGTTATGATTATTATTTACATTATGTAGGTATTTAGACAAATAACTTTTTGAGTAAAAAAAAAAAAAATTCTCATAGATCTTTCTGAACGAAACCATTTTATTGTTTGGACTGAACCAAAACTGGACCAAATATGATATAGTTGAAGATTGATAGGTCATCTGTTTAACTTCAAATGATGTATTCCTGTGTAATAACAGCAACATATTTGGCAATGCAACTCACAATGCAATGTGAATGCCTTTTTATCTGCTCCCTGGACACTTCTTCCATGAACGACATGGCCATTCCTGAGATTGTTCCCACCGATGTCTGCTGTTATTGTGTCCTTGGGAAAGACCCCACTCTGCCTGAAGCCCCCGCTGAAAGAACAAGGCTGCTCAGATCAGAGTAGCTGTCCTCCTGTGGACTCACCACCTACAGGAGGATCAGTGAGGGGCTGGTGCTGCCACCCCTTGACCTAGAAATAGACAAAGGGAAAGACGATGTGTTTTGTGTTGTTATTTTTGAGGACCCTCTCGAAAACGAGATGATGCATCTCAAGGGGCTATTCCTTGTAATAAAGATATGTTATTACAATGGATGGATAATGTGTATTCCCCATTTGTATACATTTTCAATTTGCTCTGAAACCACAAAGGCCATAATATTATGATATGGAGTTGTACTCTTTATACTGTGGATCGATTCTTGCCATTTCCTCCTTTCCATCTTAAAGCATGAAGAGAGGAATGACCCAGGGTGGACTGAGAAGCACTAGGATGAGTGAAGAAGCGGAAGAGGTCAGGCCCAATGGAGGAGGAAGCGGTCCATTAGTTTGACTCACACGTTAAGAGACCTTTGCCTTAGGGAAATGCTTCTTTTGTAGTGTGCCCTTGTTAAGGAGTAGAGTGTTTATGCTGCACTGCTCATAAAGAGGCAGTTTGTCCTATTTTAAGATCCCTAGAATTTGCTTTTCTACTTGATGTGTGGTTAGTTTCAAATGTGCCCACTAATTTATTTTTTTAACACAATCATACAACCTAACACTGTATTTCAAAAATGTAAAACACAATTTTGATTGTAGTTTCTGAATGATTGCCAGTCAAATCATGGTCATTATTCATCATCATCATCATATTATTATTATTCTTTTTTTTTTTTATATGGCACTAATACAAATATAGTGTAAATAGTCAAAACTGTGAACCTTGACTAAAAATGGTCTAAGCGGAATGAATATTGCCCCTGATATGAATGACACTGTTGGAGAACTGCCTGTCTGGACAATGCTTCTGATATTTGGCCCCGACCATTGAGAGGTGTGGCTCTGCCTGCAGTGCCTGTCATCTCTATTCTGTTAATGGAGCCAAAAATGAGAGCTAATATCATCCAGCTGAATGGATCAATGACCTCGCTGTTTTTGGGCCTGCAGTAGATTTAACAATGGCCTCTGTCCTGTTGCATACATCGCTCTGGAGACAAGCGATTCCTCTCTATACAATGAATTGTCCTCTATTTACATGTAGTTCTGGAGCACACGCAATAGGACTGGACATAAACGATGTCACTTTAACTCCTAAAGAGAGAAGTCTTTAGGAGTTAGTGCGCGGACCTAGTGCTCCTCGTATTATTACGCCTCACAATATATATCCGCTGAGAAAATCGACATGTTACATTTCTGTGTTACTATACTTTGTAGTGTAACACGCCATGTAACTGTATTTAAATAGGGAAAACGTGGAAGAGTTTGGTAGCTTCTAACGGGAGCTGTTTTGGAACTATACAGTATGTGGAAGAGGCTGCGTTTGTGCTCAGTTTGCATGACAGAGCGCACGGACAAAGACCAGACAGGTACATATCAACTAGTCTAAGGTAAGGTAAGAACATATGTCAGTATGTAAACACGGTGGCCTATTCCTTTAATCCCTCCACTAATGGGATCCGCAGATCTTTGCTTCTTGCTGTTGTCAGACTGTACAACGTCAACGGATAATAAAAACTGCTGAAAATGGCCGACCTGGCTTCACATGTCATGAATCCGTGTAATGATTTTCTAGAGAATGCTAGAGAATATTTAGAATGTGCAATGTGGGACCACATGTGTCCACTCTTTTTAGCCCATGC